TCTCATAACATGCCCAAAATATTTTAATTGTTGGAGATGGACTTTACTAGAGAGTCGTTGGCTAACTTTTAGCTCTCTTAAAATTGAATTATTTGTTCTACGGTCGGTCCAAGGAATTCGTAACATTCGTCTCCAACAGAACATTTCAGTGGCGTCTATCTTTCTTCTCTCCGATTGTCTCAGAGTCCAAGATTCACATCCGTAGGTCAGTATTGGGAATATTAAGCAGTTGATCAACCTCATCTTTATCGCTCTTGAAATTTGACAGTCCTTCCATATTTTGGTCATTTTTGTTGTGGCAACTTTTGCTAGATCACATCTACGTTTAATTTCTTCTTGTAATGACCCTGTATTTGTGATTAATGATCCCAGATATAAGTATGAGCTCACAACCTCGATTCGGTCAATTGTGGTTATGTGTGGATGATTGTTGTGTAGTCTATCCACTATCATGATCTTTGTCTTTGATATGTTTAATTGCAGACTAAATATTTGACTTTCGTTTTTGATCAGTCGTATAAGTTCCATCAGCTCTGCTTGACTATTTGCAAGAAGGGCTGTGTCATCTGCGAAACGTAGGTTGTTTAGTTTATGACCATTTATTGAGATGCCCTTTTCCCATCCTTCAAGTGCTCTTCGCATAATATACTTCCTATATATGTTGAATAATTGTGGAGATAGTATACATCCTTGTCTGACACCCCGTTCTGGATGAAACTCGTTCGAAAGTGTGTCAAGTACTTTAACTGATCCAGTAGTGTGTTCATATAGTTCAGTTATAAGCGTAATTAGATGTTGTGGTACGCCTACTTCTTTTAGTATTCGCCATAAATGTTTCCACTTGACCCTGTCGAACGCTTTACGGTAATCTATAAAACAGATGTATAGTGGGATGTTGAATTCCTTAGATTTCTCGATTATCTGTCTTATATTCAGCAGGTGTTCTCGAGTGCCTCTACCTTTGGTAAATCCAGTTTGCTCTTGTAGAATTTCTCTTTGAAGGAATGTTTTCAGTCTCTCATTGATTATATGTAGCATTATCTTGCTGGCATGGGATATAAGAGAGATAGTTCTATAATTGTCGCATTTATGGAAGCTGCCTTTTTTATGTATGGTCGTTATTGTGGATTTTGTCCAGTCTTTAGGCCATTGTTTGGAATGCCATATTTGGTTACAGAGTAGATGAAGTAACTTAACGCCGGTTTCGAGCTAACCATTATCCTTTTTAGAAATATTTTTCAGAAATAAAGATCAATTAATTTCTACGCTTGAAGCGTCCTGCACTGTGAATCTTTCTGACCAATCGCTTATTACTACTCACATTTTAATAAACTAGGTATGCCCCACTAATTTCCTTGTATGAACATGTTAATTATGATGTATTACTGATATACTGACAATCTATTTTTCTTAATGTTAATTCTTAATCTTAATTTTTCTGCATGCTTCTATTACAAATATTTCTGATCCTACAACCGAACGACAACCATATATAAGTCGATTAAAACTTTGGATTAACTTCTCAGCTACACACTTATTTCGATATAAGAGTTTCGATAAGTGGTAATATCAAATATATATAGATAACAAAATATATCGTTACATTTTCACATCTTCCTCAACGAAAGTCACAAAGCCGACGAGTCTTTGTGTTTCTCGAATAATGAATCCCAGAATGGTTATCATATGTTTATTTATTTGTTTATTTTTCTCTCAGGTTTTTACAGATGAACATGACAATTAAGTCCTTAAATCTGATCCGTAAATGTTTCACACGTATATCTCTAAAATCTGTTAGTAGACTCTATTCAATATACGTCAAGCGATTCTTGAGGTTGCCGGGTCAGTTCAGATTTCAGTTGCGATAAAATCTTACTTAAAAATATTTGGCGTAAAGCTACAGGACTTGCCCTGATCCATATGACCTATTGAAGATAGACTCTCCGTGGTTTATCTAACGTAATTCGGGCATGGACGTCTTCGAAGTGGCCTGATTATGCCCTTCAATATGATAAAATACAATTTTGGGAACCTAATTACCATATTTACTGTAATTCAGAACGAAAGATCCATTACAAATTAAATAGGAAACAGACGACAGCAAGATTCAGCTTTAGCCAAACAGAATATTTAATATCTAATAATTAGGATCAAGACACCATATCGGCAACTACTGTTAACATTTTAAAAAATGGACTTAATAGCTCTATATATGATTTTTATCTCACTGCATTATTTTAGAACTGCATTATTTATTGTTTCACAATTTTGGTTTATGTACTTAATTCTCAATCTATAAGTTTTATTAATTTTGTAATGGTATTTTTGTTTTTGGGCATACTAGGAGTTTGTTGCTCTTTCCATATTTGTTATATAATAATAATAACAATATTAAGTTATTTATATTATTATATAATTTGAATGCATATATCTTATGTATAGCTTTTGCATAACAATTAGAAATAAAAAATAAAAATTTAGATTACATTATGAAAGGTTAAGGCTACGCTGAATTTTGTTACTCATTTTTAATGTCTAAAGATAATATTTTATTTTTAGGTCATTGAATATATTGCAGCTAATAAATAATTAGGCTGATGCTGATTCCGTGCAATATTTACATATTTTCAATTTTATGTACCACAAAACTTTCACTTACAAAATGGACCTTGTCAAATTTATTAAATTGCTGCATTGTTAGCCTAAAACAAATATCTTGAACTTGAATAAATGAATGAGTAGTTAGTAGTAATTATAAGTTAGGTGTTGTTTATAGTATAAATAATGTACTTAGTTTACAAAATAAATGTATACAAGTAAAAACAATTAACGACAAAAAGTCAATAAACCATCATTATTACTGGTTTACACGTATATAAAAAGTTATTAGTGACTTGATGTTGTAGTTTTTGTAACCTGTTATTACATTATAAAAATGAAACATCTTCTTACATGGCTATATATAACCCCCTCTGTGGCTCAGTGGTAAGAGCGCCTGCCTTTAAATCTAAAGGTCGTGAGTTCGAATCCTACCTGGGTGGAAATTTTCGTTTATTAAAAAATTAATAAATGAAAATAATTTCTATCCTTGTGTGATCGTAATGATACAATTAGCGTCTCTTAGCAAAGACAATGACGTCGACTTTGCTAAGTATCAAGACAATTACTCTACACACACACACACACACACACACACACACACACACACACACACACACACACACTACACCTCAAATTGTAAGATTGGCGAATGGATTTAGTGTCCGCAGTCATTTAAACACAAACAAACAACAACAATACATGGCTATATTCGTGACCCACCAATTATAGAAACTGGCTGTACCCTGATGTTCCTGGCCGGTAAGGTACACGACGGTAAGCGACTCCACTGACCTTACTCTTGCACTGACTATTTTATAACAATTTGTGGGCCTTACCTTGTCTGTTTAAACTTTTAAAACTTTTTATACCTTTTTATTCAGCTTACTCTTTTTGAAATAAAACCACAGACATGTAATGTTGGCATAATTATTGTAATTTACAACATCTACTTTGTTTATCTTTATTAGACAACACCCTTATATGGGTTTTTATCATTTCAGCATTTATTTAACTTTGTATCGAGACCTGAAGATGCTTTGCATATTGTAGAAAGCGAAACCGGTCGTCTGATAGATAAATTAAATTGATTGTGAGTAAGTCTTATTTATTATTTCTTTACCTATTTTTGCTTAAAATTATAATTTGTCTAAAAAAAAATCAAAAGTAATATTTTTTTTAATTGTCCAGAGGTACATGTTCTTTTCTTACATATTAAATTTTATGAGCTAAATTTGTATAATAAAAATTTATATAAATAATGCTTATTCGCTCCGTGCGTGACTGACGCGACACCTACCGCCTTCATCTGACAATTTTGGAGTCCCAATTTTCAGGTTTAACAATGACATATGTTTGACATTGTTAAATACATGCGAAATTGACAATTATTAATAAATTAGTTTTTTAACTATATTTTTTCAGCTTATGTACAAAATAAATGTAATATTAAAAACTGGGTTTCTAAAAAAATTATCATAATATATCTTTTCAACTCCAAACGGAAAAGAAAGGGAAAAATCTAGTACTGGCAAATCAAGTTTTTCACGCAAAAGAGCATATAATTAAAAACAATAATAGTAAAAGTTATGGTATAAAAGCTAAAGTCATCTGCAGTTAGCTTGAAGCCTCATGAAATATCATTTAAGGTAAATTATTTAAATTTTTCCTATTTCAATTGCATAAAAATGAAATTATGTGATATTTACTTTTTCATATTAATAGCACGAATTCATCTTTTTCTTTTCTCTAATTTATGTGTAATCTTTGGGAACCTATAAAAACTACACTCACTGTTTTTGCTATTATTATCACAATTAAATACGCAACATGTATTTGCACACATTTTTGATCAAATTTATGCGTAAAAATATTTTGTCTAATATTCCAATTTTGTCATATTTCGCCGCTACGCACGCTGGCATCGTTTCAATGTACCCCTACCATGGTCACGCACGGAGCCAATATAACACAATTTAAACTGATAATAGTAGCAATCACAACGCAGAAACAATTGAAAGGTTTGCCACCAATAAAAAAACTTGCGTAAAATAAAAAAAATCAAATTTATAAAATTGGTATAATATCATCATAGAAATCAGGTTATGTTACACAGTTGTTAATCATTTATTTTGTTCAGTTAGTACAGTTTTTTGATTTATCAAAGGTTTAAAATTTATTTTTTATTGTTTTACTTGTGATTAGATTTTGTCCCATATTTACTTTTTGTTGTATATTTTTTTCTATTATTGGAATAATTTTTTGTTTACTTTCTTTATTTATTTGTTCTTTTTTGACATTTTGACTTATTTTTTTACTCCTTTAATTTACTATGTGCAAGTTTTTGTTGCATTTTATTTAAAATTGTGGTTTTCAACATAATTTAATAAAATAAAACTTACCTAAAATATTAATTGGTAGTATTCCAACTTGATCTTTCACAATATCGACTGCCTTCTTACCTTGTGAAAAATCAGCCGCTATTATTTTCGTTTTCACAAAATATTTCGCTTCTGAAACAAAAAATAACAAAATTGTGTAAATACGTTTAATAAATACAAACACACTAAAGAAAAATAAAAAATGTAGGGTGTCTCCACTGAACAATGATATACATTTACAATACATAGAATACAATGAATTGTTATTTAAGGTTACATAAGTCAGATAAAATTAAATTATTAGAAGAATTTTTTACCAAGCAACAAAAACCAAAATTTATTTAATTTACTAATGTTTGTATCTTGAGAACGACTTCCGAAGTGGAAATTGAAACGTCAATAAATGTACTTTGACCTTTAATTGTGGCTTATTCCCATTTAAATATTAATTATTCGGAGGTATTGATCAAAAAACTACTTCTTTTTCATTTTTAAATTCCAGATGGCGGCAAACGCAACAGTAAGACAGGCCATTCATGTTCCGACTTGTGGTCCCACTTAGTAGGACTACTAGTAGGATGTTCGTCTCCACTCACGCTCCGACTTTCTATCCAACTAGCGGTCCAACTTCAGTTCTAGGTTGTTTTCACGGTGGTGTACATCGCTTAACCAAAAAATGTATCGAATAAACACTACGCAAAATATAATAATATGATATGTATGTTTAAAAATTAGGTTTCGTTTCTCTAGTTATTTGTCTAGGGCTGAACTAATTAATTTTTTCAACTCTTGATTTTTATGACTTTTTAAGATGTAGGAAAAAATTATAGTTTTTAAAGATTTGTATGGGCATAAAATCTATATTTTATTTGTTTTAAACTGGAGCTGGGATTTATTTTGTTGTGTGTGTGTCGTATATTTTTAATAGGAATAATTTTTTCCGCAAATCGCCAGGAAATTTTGACATTCCTGTCAAAATTTCTTGAAAAAAAAGTCAGGACTTCCTTACTGTAAGGAAATGATATTTCCGTACAGTTGTTAGTATTCTACATAAATGATAGAAAACACATTGCTTATAAGGAATTAATTTATATTTTGAAAACATCAAGTCATTGCTGAATACATTTTTAAAATCAATTTGTTATATTTACAGTAATTTGACAGTTAGTACAATTATTGAACATTGGAGGAACACTCTTAGAACTATGAGAAACATTTTGGACAACATGCAGGGTGGAAGTGTCATTTTGTTGAATATTTTGTACTGTGAAAATTTTATTTGCCACTTTAACCTTATTGTTAAGCGATTCTTCGATATATCCTTCAGCAACGTTTGATGACTTCCATCCGCCATGCCTCTTTAAACTAGTTATGTCGGCACCAGAGTCAACCAATATTGTTGCAGAAGACCGACGAAAGCAGTGACCAGTATATTCTGTCGGATTTACCAAGTTCAAATAAGTAGCAATTATTTTGGGCATTTTTCTAAATTGATGAATTCCTACCACTTGTCTACAACCCTTTCCGCTTTAATATTTAAAGAAAAATCGGTCACTGTTCATATTTTCTGGTCTTAACGAAACATACTTTCGATAAACATTCAAGTAGATCTGATTAATTACAAATGATCTTGGTTTGTTGGTTTTCGAATTAGGTATGCTGATTAAAAGCTTATATTCTAGATTTCTTTGCCCTATAACATTGAGCTTGCCGTTTCAATAAAGAACGAAGTTTTGAGTATGCAGATATATCTACATTGTGTTTAAGTGCAAGGGTTGACTTCAGCATTGAATAATTGGCCCATAATGTTGAAGATTTCATCTTTAAACAGAGGTCTAGGAAGTATGCCAGGAGTATGTATTACAACATTTTCTGAGAAAGAACTCGTATTTTTACTCATGCGATAATCCATAAAACGTCTGTATGCATTTTCGTACTTTTCTCTTGATTTCTTTGGCAATAATTCTAATGAAGCAGTATTCACTGCCTCAACCAGCTCTGGAGGAGTCCCAGGTATGAAAATTTCATCATCACTTATCATTTTACTTTCGAGAACACCAGCAATTAAATTTATAATCATCAAGTTTGACAATTCAACCTCAATACGTTTCCATAGTAACCCAAGTAATTTTATTAGGAATTTCAAAGCACCATTTATTTGGGAATAACATTATCGCATTTTTTTTTTAATTCAATCAATATCTGTCGAATTTTAAACGATTTGCGGAAAAATAGTATGTTTACCTAGTAGGAAAAGCCACATTCCTGGACTCTGTGTTGCTAAGTCTCGGCTTGCGCCTCGACTTAGCAATCTTCACAGTCGTCCAGGAATGTTAAGCTTTTCGTACCCGGTAAACAATATACGATTCGTGCAATTGAAAGTTATTTTCTATTATTTTTTTGCGAACTAGGGATCTTTTGCTACAACTATGATTTAATTTTCATTGTTTGTTGATAATTCTTCCGTAGCCAATCCGGAGTATCGGAAATTTACCTGTATAGGAATGTCCAAAATAGATCTACAGAAAGTAAAATGATTTGGCCTAACAAAAAGGTAATTTTCGTGCAATTGAAAGTTTATTTTCTATTAAATATTCGCGAACTAGAGATCTTTGCGTACAATATTTCATAGAAATCTCATAGGTAACAGGTGCCGAAAGTCAACTGACTGAGGAAATTTTCGATCCAACCTGTGATCCGACTTCCAACTTCACCATTCACGCTCCGACTTCGTCGCGTGTCGGAATTTATATATAGTCGGAAGTCAAATCTTCAAGTCGTCCCACTAGTCGTACCACTAGTTGTCCAACTAATCCAACTAGCCCACTCACGGTCCGATTTCAGATCCAACTGCAGAAGTTGGACCACTAGTCGTACCACAAGTCGGAACGTGAATGGCCTGCTTTAGGTTCAGTCGCGATTTTAAATTTATGCAGGCCATTCACGTTCCGACTTGTGGTACGACTAGTGGTCCAACTTCTGCAATTGGATCTAAAATCGGACCGTGAGTGGGCTAGTTGGATTAGTTGGACAACTAGTGGTACGACTAGTGGGACGACTTGAAGATCCGACTTCCGACTGGCGACGAAGTCGGAGCGTGAATGGTGAAGTTGGAAGTCGGATCACAGGTTGGATCGAAAATTTCCTCAGTCAGTTGACTTTCGGCACCTGTTACGTATGAGATTTCTATGAAATACTTTTCGCAAAGATCTCTAGTTCGCGAATATTTAATAGAAAATAAACTTTCAATTGCAAGAAAATTACGTTTTTGTTAGGGCAAATCATTTTCCTTTCTGTAGATCTATTTTGGACATTCCTTTACAGGTAAATTTCCGATATCTACTCCAAATTGGCTACGGAAGAATTATCAACAAACAATGAAAATTAAATCATAGTTGTAGCAAAAGATCCCTAGTTCGCAAAAACATAATAGAAAATAACTTTCAATTGCACGAAAAATTATTCCTATTAAGACTATACGACACACACACAACAAAATAAATCCCAGCTCCAGTTTAAAACAAATAAAATATAGACTTTATACCTATACAAATCTTTAAAAACTATAATTTTTTCCTACATCTTAAAAAGTCATAAAAATCAAGAGTTGAAAAAATTAATTAGTTCAGCCCTAGACAAATACCTAGAGAAACTAAACCTAATTTTTAAATTATCATAACATACAATAAAGATAACAAGCACAGTGCTGTCATTTTTCTCCTCCTAATTATATTTTGCGTAGTGTTTACTCGATACATCCTAGAACTGAAGTTGGACCGCTAGTTGGATAGAAAGTCGGAGCGTGAGTGGAGACGAACATCCAACTAGTGGTCCTACTTAGTGGTACCACAAGTCGGAACGTGAATGGCCTGCATTACACTACTCTTATTCCCCTAAAAGTTAAAACAACAGAATTTAAGACAGTTTGCAATGCAAAGTTAGCCTTTTTTTCGTCTAACCGGACTGGACTATAGATAACACATTTGATATTAAACTATATAATGATCTGATCAAATATTTCTTAAGTATTCCGTAACTTTTTTCATGTTTAGAATTTTTAACTGCCTCGTGACACGGTTTTTAGGTAGCAATTGTATATTATTATAAAAATATTACATAGAATCGTGCTCATGGAGCATTAATTCCTCAGGAAATTTAGCAAATTTTTATTACAAAATTTGTTTTTTAATAAGAAACTCTAATGGGTTTAATAATAATAGTAAGTTATAAACAAAACGAAATATCATAAATGATAATAAGTTACGTAAATAATAAAATTTTTAGCCAGTGAAGCGACAGGTTATTTTTCGCGATAATGTTGACCGTTCTAAACAAATCATTCGACTTTATAATAGTAAAATAATCGGCCCAGGATGTGGGAGAAAAAAGGGTAATTTTACACTGTAATCCAGAAATTTATGAAATGTGTCCTATTTTATAAAAAGGCACCTAAGTAGCAATCCTCCAGTTCATTCAACAAAAAATTTTTGGTTATTGTCTATTTATGAGCGTTTATAGGTGCAAAATACGTATTTTTTGAGTTTTTTTCATTTATTGAATCGATTAGCTAAAGCTTTAAAATAGTCAAGAGAATATCCTGAAAAGCGAGGTGGAGGTAGGATAACACCGTATTCCGGAAACCGCTTCAAGTACAGCTCCATCAATGATTGATTTTATAAAATCATTAAAGTGCTGAGAAAGTCATTATGGTCGGGGTAAGAGCGTTCCCTGTTAGCTCAGCTCTGAGATATATATTAAAAAATTGTGGCATATTTGGAAAAACACTCAAAAACAACAAAAGATTCACTGGTAGTTTTGGCAGTTTAAAGTCAGACGTTTATTCATTTTGTGATCAAAAACAAAAAGTGAAATAAAGTTATGTAAAGACCTTCAAGAAAAAGCTTCCCTTATTACTAAGTACAGATTGAACAAGTTACGAGCTAAAAAATTTTATAAACTGCTTAAAAGAACAGAAGCTAATGTAGTTAAGGTATCTTTTGATATGGAACAAAACCAGCCTTTTCCAAAACTAAGACTTGGTGAGGTATTTAATTCTCTACAAATTTGTTTTTATAACCTTACTTTGATATTAATAAAAGATACACAAGATTGTATTAATACTTTTGTGTACACATGGACTGAAAACCAGAGTGGGCGAGGCTTCAATGAAGTAGTTTCAGCTCTGTATAAATTTTTGGGGATTTTGGAAGACAAGTTTAAAAATGTTCCAGCGAAATCATTGACATTTCAACTATTTATTGATGCAGTACTGCACTAGTGATATTCAGCAGTGCTTTCCGATCAGGAGACATAGCTATATGCCTCCTGATAGAGTATTTGGACGTTATGAAAAAATATTTAGAAGAAAAAAATAATAGTTGAACCAGAAGAGTACTGCAAAACGTTTGCATCTTCAGCTACAGTTAAAGTTTTAGTAAAAGACTGGGAACTTTTTAATTTCATGGTTGCTGCAAAACGAGTTTTATTGAAGAAGCTCCCTTTTTGATGCGTGACCAACGATTTTTTTTATTTTCAAATAAACGTAATAAAGACATTGAAGCTAAAATGTGGTAATTCTATTACTTTTAAAGTTATAAAAAAGGACGAAATTTGCTGGGAGTGTACAGTACAGTCAAGTCTAGGCCATTAGTGAATCATGTAAGTGAAAAGAAAAAAAAAGATGTAGAAAACCTTCTCAAATTTATTTTATTATTTGAAAGTTCAAAATACTTTTATAATACTGCACTTACCAATGTGCAAAATGGTCCCAATCACAACTAGAACTTTTTATTTGAAAAATTTTTCAATTTTAATTTTAAAATTCTGACAAAAGTGTAAATAATTGATTTTGATAAATAAAAATTATTTTTAATTATGTACTTAGACCTAAACCTTTACTTTAAACCTTAGACTTTAAAACTTTTGCTGCCATCTTAAAGACAAGCTCTGATCATCAATAAACTTACAAACGAACAATAATAATACGAAGTTTTCACCCACATGAATTTTCCAAAAGTACTTAAGTCACTGACTTAAGGTCGTTTTAAAAATAAAAACCAAATGTTGAACTTCTTAAAAGCCATTATTTTGTGTTCAAAGTCGGCCGTTGTTGAAGATTTCCATCCGCCATGTCTTTTAAGAGCCATTAAATCACCACCGACATCTGCCAAAATAGTGGCAGAAGTTCATCTTAAACAGTGGTTTGTGTACGTTTTGGTCTCTGGTAACTTTAAATATTCGGCTTTTTGTTTAGGAACATCGCCTATTTTGTTTAATCGTACCACATATTTCGTGCATTTGCCTCTTCGATAATTAAGAAAAAATTGATTTATTTGCGGACCCCTAATCTGTAGTCGAATTTCTATATGTTGTTTGAAAATTTTATAGAAATTTCCGGAAATATCGAAAGATCTACATATTTTGGTTTTCGTATCAGGAATTTTAACCAATAACATGGTACTTAAATCATCAATGTCACAAATTTTAAGATTTTTTTACTCTTGCTTCCTACAAGCTCCACATATTCCAATAATTGCAATAACCTTAAAATAAAAGTATTATAAGTAGGCACATTTATGTTATACTTTTAAATAACATACCTTTATTAACAAGTACTGTACTTCAGTAGCTCCATTTAAAAAAAAGTTTTATTTCATCACGATGGAAAATTTTAGATTTTTTGTTTTTAAAACCTTCTGATTGCCTTTTTGGATAAGCTCGCAATTTCCGGTAATTTTTAATATTAACATTATTTTTCAAAGTTATGTAAAACACTTCTTAGTATAGTCAAATTTCTTAGCGATTTCTCCAAAATATTCCAAGAGTACGCTTTCAGAAAATGAATTTACATTATTTGTTGTACCAATCCATAAATTGTTAATATACCTTTTCATATCTTCCTCTAGATTCTTCTGATAATAGGTTCTCGGTAGTGTTCGCAGCTAACTGCATAATATTGGGTGGTGTGCTACTAAATTAATCTCCACTATTCGATGAACTCATTTTATTTAACTATATTTAAATTACCACTATAGTTACACTGACAGATTAATAATTTTTAATCTGTCAAAATAACGTCTGTTAATTCGTTTCCATGGTAACGACCAACTGACTTACAAGACTTATGTGATCTTTTTTGATGTATTTACTAAGCATCCAAATAGTAGGTTAGGGAGAGCGCCCACCAAAGTGACGTGGCACGTGGCAAGTAGCAAGTAGCACGCTTCTAGCATGTTACATAAAATGTAACCAATGCAAACGAATGATTAGATTGAATGACGTCACTGTCATTTTGGTGTGCACTGCATTATCCGTTATCATTGGTTACATTTTAAGTAACATGCTTGATGCGTGCTACACCAGTAAGACAGTAAAAAAAAGTTATTTAACTAAAGTGATCTTCTTACTGTCCAATGTAGTGTATTATAAGATACTATACTTGGTACAATCTTTTCTGTAATACAAATATATAAATGGTTTATTTTGGAATTAATACTTATGGACTAATAATAGGTTTTGCAGATGGTACGGGTGTGTTTTATACTTATAATACTTGGCAGACACTAAAACAGGTTGTAGAGAAACACTTTGGTATAATATTTAATAAACTGAGTGATAAGCTGCATAATCTGAATTAAACAAATTAGTATTCTTACCATAATAACGAGTTGCGGAAATAAGTTACCGAACTATGACCAATTAGAGATAAGAAAATAGCACTGAAAAAAATTTAATGAACGCAAAAAATAAGGTCAAATACATACAAATTGTAAATTTACTAGAGTGTTCATGTACCCGGAAAATTATATTCGTATTATCGACCACTTCAGTTAGATTCCTAATCGACACAAATGTATCGAGATGTATTGAGTTTTAACAGTTAAACTGTGTAGTATAAAATATGAAAAAAATACTTTAATGTAGGAATTCATCAACTTTTAGTGGATTTATGTTAAATAAACAATCAAAATGTCAAACTCATTATTATTGTGCTCCTTACTTAAAAACTTGTCTATTCGAAAAAACCTATCGAAAAATAGTTAAATAGCTAAAAAAATACATTTTGCTAGATGAGTCTTTTTATACTATTTCATACTACACATTTCATTTGTCAAAACGTTCTATACACTTGCGATAAAAAAAATTCTTATCTTTTACCAACTTGATTGGTATACTAAATAAATTGATCTAGATCTAGAGATATTAGACATGTACGTTTGATTCATATACCTACTCCTGCTAACGTTAATAAATCTGCGAACAACAATAAAACATGTAATTGTTTTTTTCCTATAAATTATCGATTTATATAATAATATAATAAATTTTCTTACCTATATCCTCGGCAGTTTTCTTTAGTTTTTCTTCATTTCTGCTGACCAAAACGATATTAATGCCCCTTTTTGCCAACTCAAATGCATAAGCTTTACCAATGCCGTCAGTAGAACCAGTAATCACTAAAAAATATATCATATTCAAAATATTTAAAAAAATATATTTGTTTAATAATGATAATTCACGAACTAATTAAAGATAAAAATCCACTAGGAAACTAAGTTGCTGTAGCTGGCTGTATACCATATATCACAAAAAAATTTATTTCAAATCCTTTATAAAAGGTATACAATAAAATGCCCAAACGAGCTATCACAAATACATTACAAAACGTTTTCAGATTGTTAAATCCATCATCAGTGCAAACGAGGTATACATGCTATGAGCCACCAAAATATATGGGTCCAAACCCTTTAAATGATATAAATTTACATTTGCTGTACATTATTTGTGGTTACAAATTATGATGTTTAAGTTACCGTTGGAATTGGTAACATGGCGACGTATCACCCTACATAGGTAAAATGGTCCTGAGACGAAGTGTCTTCGAGGACCTGTTGATAACAACTGAATCAGTTGTTATCAACAGATAGTTCATTCATCCACTTCCAATTCTCTCTTCTACAATAAATAAAAAATCGTTTATTTGCACTGGAAAAAAACTGTGTGATCACCTACCACTTAGTATAAGATCTGCTTTACTGAAACACTAGAAAGTTGGCTTTCTTGACATATTTTTCAACGCTCTGTTTATAACTCCATATGATCCTGGTGCTTTTTTGCTTTTAGGTATTTTATTTCGGCAAATGCTATACTACACATTGGAATGTTAACTTGAAGACTTAACTTCGTACTATCTATGTCTATATTTTTATGAATATTTGTTTTAAAAAAATCCTGAAAGCGTAATTCTCAAGCTAATCAAAAGCAATGAATTTTCAACCTAGTATTATTAATGGTTCAAATCGTATACTAAATTTTGCATATAATTATCCTTTATTTATTTAACGTGTTACGGCTTATTTAATTTTGTATTAATTAACATTTGGTATAATAGCACACAACTGAATTAAAACAAAGTAGCTTGCTATTATCATTATTTGTATGCGGGTTTAATATAAATAGTACGCTTTTATTATGAAACCAGTTCAAATAGATTGTGTTAATGCAGGCGAATATTCTATTATATCTAAATTTAATTAAAACATTATTTCAAACTTGCAAGAGGTTGAAGAGAATCAAATAGGATATAAACCGTAACATTTGAATAATTTGTAACTTTAATGTTTCAAATATTTGACTTAAATATGTAACTCAATCCCGTTTTAATTTGAAAATATTTCTCGTTATAAAAAAATAATAAATCAAGACAATAAAATGTTACTGGATACGTAGGAAACGATACAAAAACTTATTTTTGTAGATTTTCTGAGTTTATGAAACTTATAAAGAAATAACATCGAAAAATGTCCCAACTATTTAAGTTTAGTATGCATGACTGGGCCGTTCTTTATATTTACATAGGATGGGTAAAAAATTGATTCAATAAATTTGTACTGTAAAGTGATACTAGTAGAAAAGTTTTAGGGAAGTTCTGATTTTTTCATTCCATATGTGTTTTATCACAACAGCTCTTGAGATGGCCCCGTCAAATGAATATTTGACAGTGTTAGGGGGAAGATATTGACCTACTTGTCATTTTGATTGGCCTTTGTAGCCCTGATATAAAAAATGTATTTTTTTTGAAGGCAGGAGAAAGATAGGTTTCGCAAAGTCTCTACAACCCTCATCTGGCTGATGATAAAATCATATTGGATCATATTTTATTCCTGCATGCGATGAGTGATTGCCATACTACTTCTTCATTGTTTAATCAAGGGAAACTGAAATTTCTTAAAGTCCTGCAGAAGAACAAAGATTTGCAATCGGTAATTGAAGCTTTCAAAGACCCTAATACAAGTCAAAATGAGATTACCACAGCAGGAAACATGTTTCTCACGGCACGGAAAAAAACAGACAAAACTAAACGATTTAAGATATAAACAATACGTATCTTAATCATTTAAAAATAAGACCAACATTTCCTTATTGCCCCCAACTGAAGCTGCTGCACGAGAACATTCACAGAGAGTTTACTATCAGGTGCAGCAGTGGTTATTCGGTCAAGCCACACCTAACGAGCAACAAAAAGACCCAAGTGAGTGGGGATGGCAAAAAACTAGTAGTGGTCTTGTGCCAGTACCAACTACTTTGGACCCTGCACCAAACTTAATACTCCGGTACATTTCATGTAAATGTAAAGTTGACAGTTTTCGAGTTTTAGGCAAAAAAACCCGAAAAAAGAAAAAAAAAAAACGGTTTATTCTGTTTTTTTTTAATGTTGCGTCACGAAATTTTGTCCGCAAACCCCAGATTTGGATTAAGCACCCCAAAAAACATATGGAATGAAAAAATCAGAACTAACCCAAAACTCTCCTAGCAAAAATACAATTTAACTTAACTAAATATCCGACTATTATAGTGGCTTTAATCGAGAAATTTTTTTGAATAATACATTAAAAGAGATAAAAGTAAAGTAATCTTAATTGAGAACTGTAGAAGTAAAGGGGTGTAAGTGACAAAAAGTAAATTTTGAGTAATTGCCGTTCAACGTTTAGCCTTACTATATTTGCCAAAGAATTTATTGTTAAAATTTGGTAAAAAAAAATATATAAAATAATTTTTCGACTGGGCGACCTCTAGAATCTTATTTTTGCTATCTCAGCTCAGATAAGTAATTGTGCAAAAAAACCTGATTGGGAAAATTAGTCCGAATGAACCAGAACTTTTCGTCTTTTCTACAGTAATTTTTTAACTGCATTAGGTTAGGTTAGGGTTAGGTAACATCAGATTGTTTATCGCAACAGACCATTCGCGTCTCACGTCTTTTATTTATGTTTTGCAGATAAATAGGTAATATTAGCGCAAGACCACGATGACCTGAAATATTGGCCGATACAATTAACAGAATAGTATCGAATATGATACTTTTTAAAATGTTTTGAAAATATACTAAATATAAGTACTTTGTAATGTGAAATATACATAATTTTTAATAATGCCTCAACAAATTTTTGTCTTGACAGATTTTATATATTTTCAATTTTTTTATTTTAGGGATAGAAGAAAAATAGGTGCCAACTGACATTTTAATTAAAATTGGCGGTAATATGTCGACGAATTGCTAGTTTGTTTTTTAGGATTCGGTTGTCAATTTACCAAACCAGTAGAATTAAGATACTATGCCATCATTTTCGTTTAATTTATTAGTTGTCTAAGTATTGCACACAAGCATTATACGTAATTAAATATAATCCTAGATCTCTAGATTTTCTTTGTTTATTTAATCTGAAATTTTTCATTCAAAGACTATTTCTTGAAGACATTAATTGTGCAAATATTGTTCCAAGTACTTATCCGTGCAATTTTAAGTAATATTAAGTATTAAAAAAGACAAATGAAGGATTCATTACTATTTATACCAGTGTGTTAATATGGCAAGGCTATCAGCATGATGATTATACCACACTTAATTTTAAACATACCTATTAAATGCGTTAAATAAAAACACCAAAAGTAGGTTTGTGATTCCGATACAAATTGTAATTTGAAATTTCTATTACTTATATCATTTTCTCTTTGCTACTATAAATGTCTCTGAGATAGTCTGATTGATAGTTTGTTTCTACTTGGCTCTATTAAACTGTTACTTAATGGAAAAGAAACATTGATAATCAAATATGCACATTAGATCATGCTGCTTTTTTCCTATGGTACATGTGTTTTACGGAGGTTGGACGGATATTTTGACTTTATTAATGACTGCTGCCCTAAAGAGTCCAGTACTGGTCAAGATAAACTATTTTCGGAGGTTTTTCTTTTTTCAGAACTTTTTCCATGCACTTTGTGCCGTTTTATGATCATCACTACTGCGTGGTGTTTACTAATTCTTAAAAAAAAAGAGAAAATAAAAAAAGAGGTTAGTCTTCGTAAGTGGGTATATTTATTTAAAAACCCTTAAAAGGGCTACATAAAAAAAACAAACGTTTTCGGACTAAACAGTCCATTATCAGGTTTACATTTTAAAATTGCCTAAAATAAGTATATACCATTTAGTTAAAACAAACGTGGTTATGAAATTTTGACTATGGTTAAAAAGCAAAAATGGCTATACTTACTAGGTTAAAATGCCTGAGCCACCAAAATACATGGGTAAAAACCCTTTAAATTACATATAGTTGTAAAAGATTGTACATCTTGTTGTTAAAAAACTGTGATGTTTAGTATTAAATTAAATATGACTTCAGGTAACGAACATTGCTGAAGTGAGTTCCAGAGCCGAAGAGTAAACCTCTACACACGGAGAACAGCTGGAAACTGATTGACAATATATCTATGAACGGTGTCGAAAACAAAGTGTCAATGTAACATGGAACTATATTAGTTATACCTAGTAATACTACAACCAAAAGATTCAAAAAATTATTTTGATGATTTTAAAAAGTAATAACAGCAATCTAGGTGTTGGGATTTAAAAATTTGGGTTATAATAGCTCTGGAACTCACTTTAGCAATGTATGTTACCTGAAGTCATATTTAATTTAATACTGAACATCACAGTTTTTTAACAACAAGATGTATAATCTTTTAAAACTATATGTAATTTAAAGGATTTTTACCCATGTATTTTGGTGGCTCAGGCATTTTAACCTAGTAAGTATAGCCATTTTTGCTTTTTAACCATAGTCAAAATTTCATAACCACGTTTGTTTTAACTAAATAGTTTATACTTATTTTAGGCAATTTTAAAATTTAAACCTGATGATAGACTGTTTAGTCCAAAAACGTTTGTTTTTTTGATGTAGCCCTTTTAAGGGTTTTTAAATAAATATACCCACTTACGCAGACTAACTCTTTTTTGTGATACGTGGTATACAGCCAGCTACAGGAATTGTTTTCCTTGTGGATTTTACTAATTTTTTGCAGAACTTCTTTGTTGGTAAGTTTGTCTATTCAGGAAATCCTTAACATCCGTCTATGGTACCATATTACAAAATGCTTCTGGTCTTTTCAGTAATGATTC